GTTTCTCACACCTCCAAATAATGTTGGAGGTGAGTATCCGGGAGTAGGACTGGCGTCCTCGTTCGGACACCGGGTGAGCATGTTTCGGTGTGACGGGGATTCGAACCCGCGACCCGCAGATTGCGAGTCGAGTGCCCTAACCACCAGGCCATGCCGGGACCAACATACATATTTCTGCAGATGACGAAGACCTGTACATACTGACAGACAGTGAGACATACTGATATAGTGAGAACTTGTACATACTGACATACAGTGAGACATACTGATATAGTGAGAACCTGTACATACTGACATACAGTTAGACATACTGATGTAGTGAGAACCTGTATATACTGACATACAGTGAGACATACTGATGTAGTGAGAACCTGTACATACTGACATACAATGAGACATATTGATGTAGTGAGAACCTGTATATACTAATATACAGTGAGACATACTGATATAGTGAGAACCTGTATATACTGACATAGATGTTTCGCATATGGTAAAACATAACTATGTAAATACTCAGATTTACAAAGTTGTATTATCATTTTGTCTGTGACACATATATATAATTAGTCTTTTACTAACAAGAAATTTAACAATTAATGTACTGCTTCAGTTTTCGTAAAAAAAAAACCCGTAAAATATCACATTTCTAAGTTTCAGATGGCGCTGGTGTTTCAGTAATTATTCTAGATACAACCAACTTGATCCAAACACTCTGGACAAAAATACTGTTTAATATAAAAATCGATACGTAAGAGAAGAGTTGGCTTGTAACTTGATTTATTTTTCATAAAACGAAGCATACAAATAGAGAAAATAATTTAGATCTATACATCAAAGAAATTTCTTATATGATTCCTATATCAAACAAAAAAAAAACCCTCATTTTAAAATATTCTGTTGATCAGGGCATTTACAAAAAATCTAGAGAAATTTAATTGAGTTTTTTCATTACTAGATGGCGTAAAGGAGTAATTCTGCTCAGCCAGTAAGTGAAAAGTTTTTTTTTTTCTCTTCAAAGAAAACCAGCATCAACAAAGTCACTTTCATAGCTGAAAAGAAGAATATTTATTTATTTATTTTTGGTACGTAATTATCTATCTTACCATTAAAATTCTCAGGCTTACATTGAATATTCTTTAAGTAATTCATATTTCGTGGTGTTGATATATAACTCAAAAACTGTTTTAAAACAGAAAAAAAAAAAGATTCAACATAGTGTTAAGCATATACTTTATACGAGTGTAATACTTATAATTTTGTGTGTGTTATTTGTTTCATTGTAATGTAGTTAACATTTTAGATGTGTGGAAATCATATACTTTGTCGTGATAAGTTCTACGGTTGTAAAATATGACTACTGATTTATTTGAAGAATGTAGTTGCTATGTCATTTAATATCTACTTATGATTCACGTTCAGTTGTTGTTGCGGATATTTTGGCTCATTCCAAGTAGAATGACTGGGCATACCTTAGTTTCACCACCCTCCATAACCACCTCCTTTTCCTCCTCCTCCTTCTCCACCACCACCTCCGTAACCTCCGCCACCACCTCCGTAGCCTCCGCCACCACCTCCACCGCCATAGCCACCTCCACCACCTCCACTTACCGATATTGGCACAGCCTGTAAATAAACAAATATGCGAGTCGTACCATAATTTTTATTATTTAATTAGTTTACTATGTAGATTACATATACGTACATATGCATATATATATATAGAGAGAGAGAGAGCTACGCATATATCAACTGTATTGATCTTATCTATCTGTTCTCTATTTAATTATGTTCAACACACCTCTTTAAACGTGCTCGATAAAATACTGTCGTCAGTTTTGTGTGAGCCCGTTTTTACATTTTTACATGCAATAATTGTTCGATAGTTGTAAAGAAGAACGAGGATATGTAATCCTGTTTAAGTAAGTTACAGGCAATGATATTAAATATATCTTTATAATTCACTCTTATCAAACGAATATATGGCCTTATTGATAAGCCTTTGCTGTCCGTATGTCACTGATGTACAGAGGGGGACACACACGGCAAGCAACATTACCATTAAAAACGTATACCTCCTTATTCTTAACTAGACTTTGTTATGTATTTTGGTATTTTAACAATATTGCTTGAGTGGGATAAACGCTTGTTTCTCTGCATTCGGCCATCTTCGGGTGCTACCATCCTTGATCACTAAACACCAACATCAGCATACTTCCATTTCTACCAAACAGATGGCGCGATCTGTTCTTTCATGCAGAGACAAACTTCTGACCAGATTATTTTCTATTTTACTGCAATATTAGTGCATATGAATGTAAAAAAAAAAATTAAAAGAGGAATTTTTTTATGATCAATAATTTCAAAGAGGAAAGATTTTTAACAACTCATGCTTATTTCCATTCTTTTGAATGTGAATTACGTATTAAAGACTATGTTACGTAAGTCCAATAAAATGGATGTTTGAGATGACAATTTATTTATGTTCACAAATTTCATAATAAACTCGGAAAAGGCAAAATACCTGGATACTGATTGACCCACCACCTCCTCCTCCACCACCATAACCACCACCACCTCCTCCTCCGCCACCATAACCTCCACCACTTGAACCATAACCAGTAGCTGAAGCTTTCAAATCATCTTCTTGTTTTGCATAATCCTTGTTTTCAGCGTGAACAACTGCACTTGTCAGAAGCAAGGACACAAGAAACATCACCTAGCGGAGAGAAGAGATATTAAAATTAAATATTAGTAACTTTTAAAATATTACTAAAATATTCGTGTTAAATAACAAGAAAACATTCTATTATAAGAGCCGATTCATTTACAATTACAATAATGACCGGAAATCAACACGAGGACAAATTATAGTTCAAATTATACCATTTTTGTTTGGGTATTTATAAAATAAATAATAAATACCTAGAAATATTGACTTCTAATATTTTGAAGATTAATGACATGAGAAAGGCGATAACAAGTAACTATGATAACCTGAACACATCTGAAGTATATTATGTCACTATTTTTATACAATGTCTGTCTTGTTTTTTAACGCAAAGCTACAAAATGTGCCATCTGCGTTCTGCCCACCGCGGATAATCGAACCCTGGATTTTAGCGTTTGCAAGACCGTAAACCTACCGCTTACATTCTGGGGGTTTGTTCGGTGTTAAACACAGAGCTAAACAGTGGGCCAGATATGTGGTATCGAAACACGATTTTTAGCGTTATAAGCCTCCAGACTTAACGCTGAGCCACCGAGGGACATTTCAATTTTGTGATACAAATGCAATAGCATGAAGTAGCATTTGTTTTGCCATCTACAAACCACTCTTTTTATGTTGTATTCAAACAAAAAATAGTTTTAATCGTTTTTCTTACGTTCTAATTTCATGAATTATCATTCAAAATTTGATTCTTGTATGCATGAATATATAAACACGTATTCAAACAAATTACATAAACTACATCCATAACTTTGCACATAATCCCTTGTAGTTATAAATTCTACTACGTTTAACATTTTGTGTTACGAAAGCTTAATCATTGTCTGAAATGAATATACGTAACTGATTTAATATTATCGAAAGTTAGTTTACCAAAATACCTTTTATGTAACATTTATTTACACCTTTCTTACATAGTAAGACTGAAACTCATCAAATATAGGTTCGTATCTACATACCCGTTTCTTCATTGTTATGAATTACTGCTGCTGGTGCTGCGTGGAGTATACTGAAGTTTTTCGTTCTTTCACCAACTTATATACACCACCAACCAATTTTTTTTTGTCTTCTTTCGACATACACTTTTAAGGTCATTTTGCCCAAAGTCATTGCAAAATACAATGTCAATAGCCATCTTGTTAGTGTTTTTTTTTTTTTTCTTTACTTACTAATATTGAGAACACTTGCTGAGATGATCATCATCGCGGGGGAAGTCTGTTCTAGCATCACTATACCTCGATATTAGGTCAACTTATTCAAGATGCTTCAGAGCCTCTTGAGGAAAACTTGTCGTTTTCTGTAAATACAATGTAATTAACTGGACTCTTGGACCAATTTTAATACTTTAAAGACAAAAGCTTCGGGTATGGTGTATTATTTATTTTTTGCTTGATGTATTGTGAGATAAATCCGTATTTTTTACCTGTTTACTCAACCTCGGCTTTAACATCCTTGTATACAGGAAAATGTTCAAAATGCAGGTTATGAGTGAGTGTTATGCCCGATCTTCAAAGTCACCCACTGTGTTTAGTGCGTGTGAGTGTGTTATAATAGTATCAGCTTGTTACAAGCAACGTATAGGATCACTAAATGAGTGAATGGTTAACACCAACAAGCCCTCCCCCCTCCAAGAAACGTCATCAACCGTAAATACAGGAAATAACAGAGACAAGGAAACGAACAATACCAACGGACCACACTAAATATTTAATAGGTGAGGATTATTGCGGTCAATGCACTCTTGTGGCTGCTGAGACACTCCGTGTTTCAAGTTCACTTTGTTCCTCTTGACGCACGGAGAGACGCCCTCAATTCATGTGCTTGAAACCCATTGCACTCAACACCTTTATTACCTCTTTCATACCCGGGACTACAACTCAACAGGCAATATTTCACTCTAAACAAGCTGCACAGGTAGAAAGCAAGCATTGTAAACAGAATTGCTGAACATAATAAAAACAACTGTAATAGTTTAAACAAAGTTTTTACAGGATGAGTGTTAATTTATTTTTCTTGAAATTATTTTCTTTAGACAAAACCTTTACCGTGCTATACTTGTTTTCACATAGGGTTTGGATTATCCGCTCCAAAATACATTTTTTATGTGAACTAACACGATTATGCTGGTGTAGTTACATTTGTTTTCACATAGGGGTTTATGTGATCCGCTCCAAAATACATTTTAATCTGAACTAACACGACTATGCTGGTGGTGTTACATTTGTTTTGACATAGGGGTTTGGGTTATCCGCTCCAAAATACATTTTAATCTGAACTAACACGACTATGCTGGTGGTGTTACATTTGTTTTGACATAGGGGTTTGGGTTATCCGCTCCAAAATACATTTTTATGTGAAGTAACACGACTATATTAGAACGTTCTCACTCATTTAGTATTCCCTGATTTTACATGAATCTGTCTCTTACGTGTTCTGAGTATCAGCTTCAAATGTTTCTGGAGGCCCGCCATAGCCAGTTGGTTAAGGCGCTCGACTCGCAATCTGAGTGTCCCTGGTTCGAATCCCCGTCACACCAAACATGCTCGCCCTTTCAGCCGTGGGGGCGTTATAATGTGACGGTCTATTCCACTATTCGTTGGTAAAAGAGTAGCCCAAGAGTTGGCGGTGGTTGTGATGACTAGCTGCCTTCCCTCTAGTCTTACACTGCCAAATTAGGGACGTCTAGCGCAGATAGCCCTTGTGTAGCTTTGCGTGAAATTCAAAAAACAAACAAACATGTCATATTTATGTTACGTAGATTCATTCGAACTTTGAGTTTTTCAGTTTGTCCAAGCCCTCCAGTGGCACAACTGCATGTCTGCGGACTTACAACGCTAGAAACCGGGTTTTCATACTCGTGGTGGACAGAGCACAGATAGCCCACTGTGTCGCTTTGTGTTTAACTTCAAAGAAACAGTTTGTCCAAAATATTTTTCTTCACATACTCATGTGCGTAATTTCAGTGTACCCATATGTATAAAATATACTTAAAAGGTGAATAAACAGCCTAAGATACCCCATCAAAATGTACCATTTTTAGTGAAATTTACACAATGTTTCCAAGGGGGTATTCACCTGGCTCGCCCAGCAAATATTAGTCATTTCCTTTTTCCCCCAAAGGCAGATTTCTGCCTACACTCCTGTGTGTACGACAAATCAACATGTAGATATAATTTTTGGACTGACAACTGAAATTACGGTTAGGCTTAAGAATTATATCTCCATTTATATTATTAATTTCAGAAGTTTTCGATATATAATTAGTTGGTCCACAAGATGATTGACACTTATCATCTCCTTACAAGTTTCTATTTTAGAAATGAACATAAACCCTATAACCCGAGCGCTTTCGAAAGGTGGACCTTTCTACATCAGAGGCAAACTATTTTGATATCTTAAGCCTTTTTTAAACTATTAGACAAATTTATTTTATCTAACTAACACTTTTTCAAAAATTTCCAGTAAAATTTGCTAGTGTATTCTTCATACTTGAGACGTCAACGCGTGAATTATTACAAATTATTGGTGGTTTTGGCATTGTGTTGCTTAGGGCCAAACTATTTGGAGCGGGAAATACAGCTGTTTATTAAACACTTTGGGTAGCGTCACTGTAGCAAAAATATTTTTAATACTTTAAATCTTATTTCATGTTTTTCTCCTCTACTTTACTACTAACATTATTCTTTTGGTAAGTTTAAAGGGAATATTTCGTTCAATATGCCTAATATGGTCACGGTTGAAACCTATGTAAGAATATGAGCTAATTGGTTTATAGAATACGCGCGTTTCAGATTCATTTATTGTAGGTAAAAGTATTTTTACATTTAAAAATGTAATACACTCTTTTTTTTTCTTTCTTTCTCTTATAAACTTGCCCCCCACTGGCACAGCGGTATGTCTGCGGACTTGCAACGCTAAAAACCGGGTTTCGATACCCGTAGTGGGCAGAGCACAGATAGCCCATTGTGTAGCTTTGTGAATAACTTCAAATAAACAAACTCTTTTAAACTTAATACCTGGATGTCATTTATTTTAAATATTCGCAAAAAAATGAGATGCTTTTCTTCCATAAAATGAAACTATTATTTGAATATCTCCAAAGACTGGATCTTCTGAATTGTATTAAAAAAGAAATGACAAATTAATCTTCACACTACTATAAACCAAATTTCCAAAAATTTCAAATAATAAATCAAAGTAAATATAATAACATAACTATGATTAACAAATATTTAAAATATATGTACCAAAGTTTCAAAAAATCATAGTATCCATCAGTGAATTGCAAATAAGATAGCAGACAAGATCGTTTTATCCTGTTTGTTAAAAATCTATTGGACTACGTTAGTTTACTGGTAACTCACATCCCTGTAAAATTAGTTATTTATTTTCTGAACAGATTTTTTTGCATTGGTACTATAAGGTTTGTTTTATTGGTAAGCAGAATCCTACATAATGGGCTAGCTGCAATCTGCCCACTTCTAGTATAGAAACCCAATTTGTAACGTTATAAGCCCCAGACTTACCGCTGAGCCATCGGGGTTCGATGCTATAAGGAATGAGAGTAGTAGACGACTATGCGAAAAGTGATTCAATTAAACGTTGGAGTTTGAATCTTGTACCGAGTATCATCACATCTAAATACTATTCACATACAAGACGTATTCTCTGTCAATTTGGTAAAACACCATTAATTTCTTTTTAAGTAACTCTTTGGTTGTCGTTAAGCGCATTGGGCTATCTGTGCTGTGACCACCACGGGTATTAGGAATCCAGTTGTTGGCGTTATAGCCCTTAGATTTACCCCTCAGCCACTGGGGACTTTCACGTAACAAACGTTAGTCAAGTTCTATGAGTTTATATTAACATAACAGGACATTATTTCAATGTTGTATAACTTGTACAAAATACTTTGGTTTGTACACTAAGTGTATACATCACACTTTCATTAATATTGTATCGGATATTTCAAACAATCTTAAAAACTCTTTTTCCTTATAAAATCACGAATGTACATTCTTTTAATATTTTGAGCTGAGGGTCACTCAAAACATAAAATGAAACAGATTCTCAACACCCTAAACACGTGTGTCGCAACTTTCATCTCCCTTCATCAATTTCCAAATTTGTGGAGTTATTTGGATATTTTGACAAAAAAAAAAAAAAACGAAAAACGCTAAGGACAAGCAATGTTAAAAACAATACTAAGAAAAAACATATTGGTATATTGATTAGTTACCAGAACGATAAAATATTTATCTAGGGAATACATTTATAATAATTTTGTCAATAAAATAACACTTTATATAATGACATTCCTCTAACTTTGCAGCCTCCTTGATGCTCAGCAGTCAAACTTATGACGCTAAAAATCGAGTTTCGATACTCGTGATGGGCAGAGCACAGATAGCCTAATGTATAGCTTTATGCTCAACAACAACCAAAACAATCCAAATTTGGTAAAAACTCGTTTTTCTCATGTTTTGTAAAATTACTTTTTTTCCTGGAGTTTTCCTCTAATTTTAGTTTTCTTAAGTACAAAGTCCTGTTGATGGTATCGATATGTAAAATCAAATTTCAAGTTAACTTTATTTTGTTATTCATTAAAAAAAAAATGCGAGTAATACAAAGCATTAAGTATTGAGGAAGCCACCAGGTCGTGTAGAAATGTAAGCCGTTTGATATAATGCAAAATTCTGTAGATGTTTTAAATAATTAGGTTTTAAGTTATTTTTTTGCTGTTCGTCCAACACCTCTAAATACATACTTCGATCTGGAGTTTCGTGTCTGATACGATACTGATACACCAGTATTACATAATATTGTTTCGTACGTGTTGTGCAACTTTATATCTGTGTTATTCTAATAACAGTTAGTTTCTGTGTTTATTAGGACCCTTCATAATCTCTTGTGAATATTTAACATATAATTTTAACCTCTAATTACATCGTGAACAACCATCACAATACTTCCAAAAGTAGTGAACGAAGTTTCAAGATTTTGTTTCTTAAATGCTCGTTCAAATATACATGTTTATTAATCATCGCGTACTTTTGTTTCCCCTTTAATTCTATAAAACACTTGAACACAAACCATCAATTAATAATAAAAGTATCCTGTCTAATATAAAAATGTAAAGAGAAAGAAAGAAAGAGAAATTCTAGTCACGAGACAAAAACTCGGTTTTTACAGGCTCTAGGTTAACATTTCATTTATTTGGTATAAATGAACACATCGTACAGACAAGTAAAATTTTCTTTCTAAAATAATTGAAAAAATATATTCACAACCAAAACGGATTAGATTTTTTTTTATTAAATATCGAGTAAAGTACGAGTTGAATATTATATCATCACAACCAATATATTCACAACCAAAACGGATTAGATTTTTTTTATTAAATATCGAGTAAAGTACGAGTTGAATATTATATCACCAGAGAGCGTACGAGCAGTCTCTGTTGAGTTTGTTGAGAATCATTTCTTCAAAGCACCAATCGTGCGAGGCATAACACCTGAAACAACGAAAAATATCTGGATAAACGCTTACAGTCTATTCAAGTTTCGTAATTTTTAACTGGTATAAACTTACCATTTGTTAATACGAATGAGATTATTTTAAAAATGACCCACTATTTCTTCAATATTCAAGAAAAAGGTTTAGGTTTACGTTTTACAAGTTGTTTTCCCTACTATAACTTATATTTCAATACCATACATTCAATTTAAAATAGAGATGGCCGTTAAGCATACATAAATTTATTGAAAAAGAAATTGTTTTTTCATATAGATGGCCGTTGAGCATACATAAATGTCAATTTCTTTTTCAATAAATTTTTGATAGTTCTTTTCACATTATAAGTGGTCAGAATTTGTTCTTACTTTTATTTTACTTTAACACGTATACGGTCTTTTTTTTGTTATTAGATCATTATTTTGAATCTAATACATTTGCAAATTGTATTTAATTTGTGTGTTGAGCAGTTTGACCAATTCCAAGTAAAGCTATTGCTTTGGTTTACCTTAATCCCACCATCCTCCAAAACCCCCTCCTTTTCCTCCTCCTCCACCACCACCACCACCTCCGCCGTTCCCTCCTGAAGTCAGGGAAAGGGGCACAGCAAGGAGTCCAAGGGCAACGTTTCCTCCTCCTCCACCACCACTTCCGTAACCGCCGCCACTTCCTCCTCCACCACCACTTCCGTAACCGCCGCCACTTCCTCCTCCACCTCCATGACCACCTCCACCTCCTCCACTTACTGATACCGGTATGGCCTGGAAATAGGCGAATATATGATGTTTGTGAAACAATACATTAAAGAAATTAATTATAACCCAATATGGAAATCTTAAAATTTGAGAGCTCATCATACACCATGAAATATTATTGTAAAAACTTTACTAAGAGGTTTGTGTTTATTTGTTCTTGAATAAATATTAATCATTGACATCTTTATATCGAAAGGTAAAATAAACAATTCATTATATCTGACCAGAGGAAGAAATAAACATACCATCACATTTATTAATGTAACGTGTACTCTGATGTATTGTAATTATCCCATGCCCTATTATGTATAGTTTATAATACGATCTAACAATGAGTTTTAGTTTAGAATATTTAGCGCACAAATAACTTGGACTATGTTTACCTCAGTCTTCTCAAGGAATTGCGATGTTAAAATGCATATGTTTGTTTGTTTGTAATTAAACACAAAGCAACACAATGGGCTATCTGTGCTCTGCTTGAATATTTGGGTGAGTCAGATGGTTGATGAAACAAATGAAACAGTGGAATGAAGGGAACTGTTACGTCATCAAACAGTCAGTGGTTGATGAACGCTATACAGATACGGAGAATCCTAACGGTAATGAGCACGTGTAAGTTTCTGTTGTTTGTAATTTTCAACCGTCAAAAACCTTTAAAAGTGGTTTATCTGGAGTTTTAAAACATTGGATAATTAAGGCTGACCTTGTAATTTTCAACCATTTTCTACACAGTCGGTCCATCATGTTTAAATGAGCATAGAAAGGCTGGTAATGAACCATTTAAGTATACTGTATCATTTTTCAGTATTGTTAACACTGAGAGTTTAACATTTACTATGCCAACAGTTCAAACAACTAAATGTGTCGAAATGATTTTTCAAACTCTTTTCTGTGTGTTAGTTAGTTTTCTGCTTTTTTGTCACACATTTGGCAAAATCGTCGCTAGGTTCTTAAAAGATTCGGAGCTCGGGCCCATAGGCGCAGGAATTTTCAGCGTTTCAGTATAATATCGATCATGGTTTTCTATTCTGGTTTTTTAAGACATCAACTGGGTATTTGGGACACTGTCAAATCGAATCAGGACACGGACTTCGTGTGCCGGCGCCTAGCGACGCGTCTAACATTTGGCAAAGTTTGGCAGGCTCTACAAAAGCACTACCACTCCTTTTTCAACAGACAGGGGGAAACAACCGAATGCGATTATTGTAGCTTAAACCTAGCCTCATCAGATGTACCAGGCTGAGATTTTTTAAAATAACGCAGGTGATGAGCGATTGCCGCGCGTGCCCAACATCTTGATGGCTAAGTACGGTTTTTCGCCCTGCAGCGAGTAGAAAGCGTCGTTTTACCAGCTTAGTATGGAGTGATAACTGGTCCATCTGCTATACTGATACTCAGGCAAGAGACCCCCAAGTGGCGCTAGCCCTAATTGATATGAAAAGAAACGAAGTGCAGGAGACCTAGTGATATATGTTTTAAGGACACTTCCAGAAAATGCAGTGGTAGGTTCATTTATCCTTCCTAAAACTTCACAATTCAGGCTAGTCCAAAATTTCGCGAGTGAAGCCAAAGAATAATATGTTATAATTCGTGAACCACATTACAAATGATATAACCAATGCTGTCGAAGCCTTTCGCTCAGTAATACGGCTCACCAGTCCGGCTGTGATATTACAGACGTAACAGAGATGTAGTTATAGAGCTAATAGAAGAAAATGGAATTATCTTATTTATTCATATGACTTCAAAAAGGCATAATCTCACTTACAAACATTGAATCGATTTCTTAACTAAAAACTCAGTGAAAAGACGAATAAGGATAGCTTTATACTCACAACCTAATTGTAGCGAAAACAGATGCCGTATTAGTCTCTAACCCTTATCTTTGATCTACTCTTACGTAATAGGAGTAAATTTGAAGTAAGTACGTCAAACATAACTGAAATTCCATAAACCATAGTCTATCTTTTTTACTTTTTTAAGATACTTTCACGTTAACATCTCAAACTTCACGTCATCGCTGACGGTTGAAGATCCGAGAAAGTATAGCTCCTGAACCAATACACGCTTTCCTGAATCTGCTTTCCTGGTTTAACGATAATCTACAAAAGACAAGAAAGCACGAATATTGAAACTCAAACTATTTCCAACTTCAGGGTAATACAAACGTTAAGCCCCCCAGTGGCACAGCGGTATGTCTGCGAACTTACAACGCTAGAATCCGGGTTTCGATACCCGTGGTAGGTATACATTTGTTAGCTTATCTAATTGTCAACTACCTATAAAAAACACCTCTCTTCTTTCCATTGCTTCATTTGACTAAGCATACTTTCATTGAACTACTAATACATTCATCAACCATGTACTAACCTATCAACTATCTACTCGTTCTTGTTTTTATTAGACCATTTGACTAAGCATGCTTTCATTGAACTACTAATACATTCATCAACCATGTACTAACCTATCAACTATCTACACGTTCTTGTTTCCATTAGACCATTTGACTAAGCATACTTTCATTGAACTACTAATACATTCATCAACCATGTACTAACCTATCAACTATCTACTCGTTCTTGTTTCC